ATAGATGAAAGTCGAGATCCGATTTGGAAATGTTTAGCAGCAGGAATCCAGATTAACTGTATAAAAACCTCCAGTTTGGACTGGAAGTTACATTATTTCAGTTCAAAAGTTTGCTCCTAAATGAGTTAAATAGATGATTGGTATGACTCTATTGTTAACAGGAAAAATGTGATGTACAGGGGCAAGACACTACTAAACTTGAGAGCATTGTGGCATAAAATTGCAGCCTAGCATTGTGACAATGTCACAATAAATAATAGCTCATTACATTGATTATTATTTGAAGCATGCAGTGCCATAATATTCTAAATGCCAAAAAAGAAACTATTCAGGAGAGGTAAAAAACATTTTTTCTAATGAATGAATTCATTTCAATTTTACAATAAAATGGTAAAAACTCACTGGGTTATAAATTCTCTGGAATATCAAAATTATGTAAATATAAGCCACAATGTTTTGTGCCAAAAGTCACATGATTTGCACTCTGGTACTTTAAATGTTATATTTTTACATAAATTCATCTTCAAAATACAGCCACTTAAACTGCCAATATCGCCACAATATTTTTTTTGTCAGAAAACATTGCATTTAGAATTCAGTTTTTCAATAAAATGTATTTAGAAAAAATGGTATTTACAACGTTATGGTATTGCACGCTTCATTTATGACTTTTCAAAAATTATGCTTTATCTGAGATTTTCGTAATATACAGCATTTGAGGTATCCATAATCAGATAGACTATTTTAGTGGTAGATGATCACATACTAAGAGCTTTTATGACAATTATTGATAGATATTTGGAATGGTTTTCATTATTAATTTTGTGTCTGTTTACATTTTTTATATGAGATATTTTTAAATGTCCATTAAATCAAGAACAGACAGTATTTTCCAGCTGGAAAATTCTATACTAGTATCCTTTCTGCCACATATTTTTAAACTATGCTCAACAAAGACATACATGCTGTCATTGGTTGGTTTTTTGTTGATGATTTTACAGAAATTAAAACTGAAATGGATTGTTTTAGCATTGTTTATTTTATAATGGAAGTATGAATTATAAAAATTGTAAAGTATCTTATGAAGTGTTAAAAATGAACAGGAAAAACACAAATTTTCTTAGGAAATTTTTTGGAGTTTAGTGGACACTTTGATTATCAATGAACATTGTAATATGAGAAATCAATTAAAGTTTCAACAAAAACTATATTTTATTGCTAGTATAAAATTTTAATATAGTACTGGACCAAATATCTGGCAAGCATGGGAATTGATCCAGATTTCTGGATTTTCTTAGTTTTCCAGGCACAGGCTGAAATAAAAATAAACCATGAAAACAAAAACTAAACTGTTTTTAATACACTATGTAAAGTTTGATCTTTTTGTGAAAACCAAATCCTTTGCCAAATTTACTTCAGGATTCTTGGAAGGGATACCTGACTCTGTGCAAAACAAATGGAAAAAATACTATATAAACATGAATAATAATAAAAATGGAAAAGATTAATGGAGACTTCATTCATAATCCATCTTCTATATTTAAGTGCAATCTTTAGCCATGTCCATACAGTGAATAAAAACAGTAAATTTACTCCTCTTATTTTAGATGTGGTAAGTTTGCACCAGGCCCGCCGTAAGCGGGCATGCAAGGCGTGCACNATTTATTAGAAAGTGGTAGAAATATTTATTTTAGTGATTAATAAAATGAAATCAATTATAATTATAATATAAAATCCAACAGGGCACTTCAGGCATTCAATGGTATTGGCATGAATTTTGAGTGAGCTTTTCTTAAGAAGAAGGATTATTCAGTGATGATTTTGTGGCAATTTCAAGCATATTTACTGATAGTAATATGGATTTTACTTATTATGGCTGGAATTGAACAAAATCCATGTCCTTTATCGCATTCTACTTTGAAGAGAAGGCAGCCTCCATTAACCAGAAGTAGTAAGGCCTACTAAGGTGTCTAAATCAGCCAATGTGAAAACTATGCTCTGTAAACAATCTGTGACTTCTATGGATATGGAGAGGAGTGAAAAAGTATATGAAGAATAAAGGGAAAATAATTTTGAATTTACATTAGTAGATTGTCGTGAGTTGATGGAGAAGGATGACAGCTCAATGACTTGTCAACTTACAACAGTTGACAAAACTAATTCAACTATAACTGAACAAATTTTGAAGGTTAAAACAGAAATTAGTTTGATACATCAGGACATTAATGATTTTAAGACTAAACTTGGTTCATTGGAACTAGTGTTTCTCATTTCCTGGTCTTTTGCTTGTCCCGGGATTCCGAGAAAAAAGTGAATTGTTTCCCGGGATATAATTAATTATTTTTAAGATAGAAATCTGAAAATAGAATGATATATAGTGGTGAATCGATCAATGCGGGCCTCTGAAATAGTAAAAATTATTAGTAAACTGAGTGAAATGACTGATGTTGGCTGATTTAATTCCAGTCAGTTTTCTAAACTGAATACCAATTGAAGTGGCAGAATTTTTGCTGCTCAGCTTTAATTACATTTATGAACATGGCATTTCCCTGAAACATAGTGTTCTTCATATTTTCAGATGATATTTAAAAGGGATGAGAAGTCAAATTTCAGTAACTACAAACCCATTGCTATATTGTCAACATTAAGAAAAATTTTTACATCAGTTCTGGCAAATAGATTTGAGCAATGGACAACAGAGAATTTTTTGACATAAAAATCACAATTTGTTTGTTAAGAGAAGTGGAACAGAAGTTGCAACTTTTGTATTGCTATTGACTATTCAAATCCATCTTTCTAGAAAAAAAGCACAAAGTCTATGCAGCTTTTTTAGATCTGGAAAAGGTCTTCAATTTGATATCAATAGAAAAACTGTTCTAAACTAAAAATACATGGTGCAGATTAACTATTTATAAAAGCGATTAAATCTCTATCTGGTCACTATTTTTTACAATTAAAAGTGGTAAGAATACTTACCCCCTTTCAACATATGTGGTTGGCTCTTNATTACTTAAGACAATTGACATGCACATTAGAAACCAAAAATTTTTTGTTCACTCTTTCGTCCCTCTGGGTACTAAGAGGGGCTTTTTCCAGGCCCATTCTGGTTTAGCTAAGTCCACAATGAGATGGCCAAACCTGATAAATTTTTGTTTATTTTTAAAACAGTCAAACAAGATAAGAGAAAGTGAAATAACTGCAAAAATTTGGCTTTTGCTATTTGATGTTGTGACTGTTGCTTTCTTTTGTAAAGTTTGCTTAATACAAACATTGTTAAAGTACCAAGTTTTAAGTCCCTTTAACTTTGTATTGATGGAGTTTGACTATAATATAGTAAATGCATTTACATACACTATATACTATACAATATATATAGTATATAGTGTGTGTAAATGCAGTTACTTGATGTAGACAGACATTTTTTATAAACTGTGTGTAAAAATAAATGTTCAAAAATATTGTATTTTTAATAATAAAACATGACTAAATTACAGGATATTGCAATATGTATTAGTATTAATAATAATAATCAGAAATATCGAATTGTTTTTGTGAAAAAAATAGTATTTATGTGTTTATCATTATATGATTAATTGTTTATTATTTCTTATTTTAATGTATTGTATACATTAGTTAGAATTTTTCACTAATTTTTATACAATAATGCTTTTATAATCTTCCAAACGATCGCCTGAATAACGGGCTATAATATGGCTACTTAAAATGATTAGAACCAAAGCAATTTGTCTTAAGAGGTAAGCTTTTATAATCATTTCATAAATTTAATTTTCAGAAAATATCAAAGTTCAGATTATTATTGTTATTAAGGATGTAGGGTGCATAAGGGTGCTTTTGATGCTGTAATATCCCTTGATGCCAAAGCAATCAATTTTGTTACTTTAAAATAAAAATAAGTATAATAATGCATATTATATGATTTTAATTAGATAAGATTAGGCAACTAAAATAATTCTAAGGTAATTAAGTGACATTCTTCAAAAAATGCCTATAATATACATATAGTATCAATATAATATACATACAATATAGGGCATGTGCCTTGATCCCTCCAAATCTGACTTGAGCGGCACCCATATTCTCAAAATCCTGGATATGTTGGTGATTATTATTATTATTATTGCTGTTGGCAAATTATGTCCTACTTGATTGATTTTGGTGCCTAGTACTATATCAGACCACGATCAAGGCATATAGCTACAAAAAAGCTATGCCTTTGACCATGGTACAGATTATTATTTATAATTATATTCAGTATAATACATTGTTCAATTGTTTAATATACCAATAATTACTATATTTTTCTGTATAGAACTAACTTTTCAGATAAACATCTTTTATAATATAAATTTTAGCTTTTAACTTTTATTTTGTGGGTTATAGAAATTATAACTTATTTGATGTTAGAAAATTATTTGGTGAAATTCTGTTAATCCAGCATTGTCAGGACTGATTTGGTGCCAGTTGATCAAATATGCCACCTTATTGGACTGCTTCCTTCCCTTGGCATAGAAGTCATTCTACAAATTGTAAACTTATCATCCTCTCTCCTCCCCTCTCTCTTTTTTTAAGTCACCTTCCCTTTTCATATGTGTGGCAATCCCTCATTGTTTCAACAGCTATCGGATCATTTAGCCTGATGATGTCCATTCAATACGGGCAAAAATATTAGCTCTATTCTTCCTTTTTTCTGCTGGATATTTTGTTTTGGTGACTTTTTTATCAAGTTTATCCAGTTGTGAATGGTGGTGTGAATTTTAATTTTTTAGTTGCAGTTTAACTGGCATGCCAGTAACCCCAGGATTTCTGGCTTAATGCACCAATAACCCACTGTGACATGCTCAGCATGCTGGCTTATTGGATTTGTCGGCATACTGGATGCCAAGTTAATGGAATTTCACTATATATCAAAAAGTATAAAGCTTAAAATATCAAATTTATTTTATTTTAAAATTATTCTAATTATTCTGTATATTAATTAGGTGGTCCATATGAAGCTTTTGCTGGTCATGACGCTTCTCGTGGTCTTGCTCTATTTTCTATAGACACAATCAAAGATGAATATGATGATCTTTCAGACCTAAATACAATGGAAATGGAAAGTGTGAGAGAATGGGAAATGCAGTTTACAGGTATCTAAAACAATTTTAGATAATAGCTTAGAAGTAATAAACAACTGTTTCACTAAAAAATTAGAAAGAGTGATTTTTTGGGCAGTTAAAATTTTATAGTTGAACAAATGTTTTTGATCATCCAAACAGCCATCTTTAGGTTCTAAAGATTGGACTAATGTGAAATTTAATTTCTAGATTACATAACATTGCAAATTGCAAATATTAGTATATAAAATTTTAACTGCTGAAAGGTTGCTTGTTCATAATTTATATAATTCCATGTTTCATTTATATGTTCCATGGCATTTCTATATATATTAGAGAGGTTGCGGCCAACATTTTCAATGTGAAAACGTGTACATCGGACATTCAGCATCACCTTCCTGTAAGCCTACAAATTTGACAATGGCATTTGGAACGTCGAGCATGATTCCACTGACGTTCCAAATGCCATTGTCAAATTTCTAGGCTTACAGGAAGGCAGTGCTGAACGTCCGACGTACACGTTTTCACATTGAAAACATCAGCTGCAACTTCTCTATTAGCTTAATTTTTTTTGTATTACTTTTTGATATTATACAATGTGCTATCTGGTTTGATATTATACAAGGTTCTGCACTCATCAGTTATATGGACTGATGAATGCAGATAGCTACAGTTATGAATGTGATATCCTGTAGTGCATAGTCACTTTACTATTACTATACAAGACCACTTGCAGTGCATAGCAGTAAAGTTCAGAAGTTTTATCTTGAAAACAATGCACAATACAGAAAAAGTCAATTACAGAGTTGTAGAGCATGACCAGTTTAAATATAAACATCTAATAACCTGATTTTTAGTTTAATGCCAAATGAGTGTCAGATTATATTGGATTAGTGAGTAACTAGTGTGATTATATCTAAATTAATAATTCTGGAAGCAAAGTTTGGACAGGTCTGGGTAGTGTAACTGGCAATGTGTCTGCATGGGAAGTGGGAGTTGCAGGTTCAAATCCTTGCTTCAGGCTGATTCTTTTCTTTCAGAACCTTCTAAATTAATTATTAAATGTTTATTTAATTATGATAATTAAATTTATCAAAAGGCCTACCTCTAGGCCAAATTACTTAATAATTTGTAGCACTATTGTAGCCATTTAACTGCACAACACTGGGATGTATATAAAACGTACTACTCACCAACTAATTAATCGGTGTGAATAACAGTTAAGTGACAAACATTTTCATTATCCCTTCTGGGCACTTCTTCAGGTCTCCTTAATTCAAAACAGGCTGGCCATTGACATTCAAATATAAATTGAGTGGTATGGATTTTGAATATGGTATGCACATGTGTTCTCCGTACGATGTTTAAAAAAGATCAAATATTAGGTTGAGTTGGAATGCAGAGAACTGTTGGTGAGTCATACTTTTATTATTATAACCAGATGTAATCTGGGAAATCATATGACCAATTTAGTACAAAAGGTCAAACTGCATACATGAATAACATGAATAGAAAATGTGAATGCTAATCCAATTCAATGCTACATCACTAATTGCATTACAAAGCAGAAAATTGTGAGAAATAGCAAAAGAGTAGAAAATACACATTTATATCAGAAACAAGTCTTTTCATTGCTCATTGTAATAATTTGCCATCCAATATGCTGTTTTACTTTTCATGCTTTGGCACCTTTTTGATCAAGACAACATTCACGTACAAGTGCTGTCATCAAGGGGCACCAAAAGACACAATTAATTAAGTGCCTGATTTGAATTATGAAATGACAAAAACTTGGAATGAAATGTTATGCTGAAAAGGTAAAACTGCAAGCTCCAATGCTTCATGTATTAACACTGACATTATGTATTTATGTGGATTTAAAGTATTGCATGATCAAATTTGTGTGAAGTTGCTCTGGTGGTGATCTTGTTCAATGAGGAATAAACTTATACAGACTAGTATATAACAGCATTGCCAGACGTTCATATCATCCAAACTGAAAGGGTTTTTGATAGTGATCAAAAAATAGAAATTTGTGATTTTTTGCACTAAATCAACACAAAAAAAAAAAAAACTTTTTTTAATATCCCAGTATGAACAAATTTAAACAAAATGAACATTTTCAACCATAAATTCAAATTTATACTGGCCATTAACCTGATGATGACCAAGTTTATGGTCGAAAACGTTTGTTTTGTTTAAATTTGTTCATACTGGGATATTAAAAAAAGATTTTTTTGTGTTGATCTGTCTTCCCAGGAGTTGTGCGAGAGGTTGTTTTTTGCACTAATTTGTAAGCATGCAAAAAATAGGGCTTGCATGTGGGTGAACAATACTCTACTGGTAACATTGAATGTCCTCAGAAATGAAATTGCTTTTTTTCTTGCTTGCAATATCCAAAGTGGCAAGTTTGGTATTAATTATTTTTTACAGAAATGTTTTCTGTGTCCTGAAATGTCACTACACCAAATTTGATTGCATTTGGATGCTAGATATCTCTCTAGACAGTGTTGATTAGGAGTACCTTAATTAATCATCTAGTTTACAAGAAAAATAAAACTACCAGTTTAAAGTACACAGAAATACTTCTAAGTACAGTGCATGTACGAGGGGTGTTCAAAAAGTATCGGACCTTTATTTTTCCCAATGAATGATGAAATTTAAACCAATGATGCACGGGAGGTCTGTTTTGGTGGAGTTGTGGGGGGGACAGTCATGCACAGTCCTGAATTTTTTCCCTCCTGCAGGAAGCATCAGTTGCTGGCAGTCGGCCTATGAGTGAGGACACGTAACGAGCTCTTGTCGGATTCCACTAAGTTGAAAAATGACTGAACAACATGAGCAGCGATATTGCATCAAATTTTGCCAAAAGCTTGGCAATACCCAAGCGGAAACCATTCGCAAGATTCAGCAGGCTTTCGGGAGCGATCCTTGAGGCCAAAAAAAGCATGGCAGGTCTGCAGCAATGTCAAGGTCATGTTGACAGGTTTTTTCGACTCCCGTGGGGTGGTGTATCCTGAGTACGCACCACAAGGCCAAACCATCGCAAAGGAGTACTAACAGGAGGTTCTTCATCATCTTTGTGATGCTGTGCAATGCAAACAACCAGATCTGTGGTCATCCAAAACTTGGCAGCTCCATCATGATAATGCACCCACCCATTCTGCGCATCTGATTTGGACTTTCGTCGCCAAACACAACATTCCTGTGGTTCGTCACGCTCCATACTCTCCTGACATGGCTCAATGTGACTTTTGGCTATTTTCCAAGCAGAAAATGCCGCTAAAAGGAACCCGATTTTAGTCAAGAGAAGACATCGTGCGGAATGCGACGGACCGGCTGATGGCCATTCCTAAAGATGCGTTCCAGCAGTGTTTCCAGCAATGGCAGGAGTGCTGGGAGAAGTGTATACATTACCAAGGAGACTACTTTGAAGGGGATTAGGGTTTTGTACCTCAAAATCAATAAATGTATTTTTGCCGACCAAAGGTCCGATACTTTTTAAACACCCCTTGTATTTATTTATTGAAGATAAACTTTACTTTAGATATTGTTACAAAAAAAACTGAAGAAATGTCATTATAACAGTACATTGAATTCTGCAAATAGTGTTGAACTTAATACTCGGTATCATTTGATATTTGGGTATATTCAACCATACTCAGTATTTGGCCAAATAATCTCATTTTTCATGTTCTGATGTGATAAGCCCTTCCCATTTAGCCTTGTTGTTAATCTATTAGTTTTAATCTCATTTTAGTTTGAGAAGAGAATTAAAGAGTTTCTAATTATAGATATCCCCTGTATAACACTATAATTAGGTTCAGAAAAAGTGCTGTGTTATACAAAACAAAGGACTACTACAAAACATAGGATTAGGTTCCAAAAGTTAGCAAAAATAAACTATTCTTTTTCATAATTAAGAGAAATATGTTTATTAAAGCAATCAATATTTAATTAACAATCATAATCAAAAGTATTGTATGTTAATACAGTAAACTCCTGATTATCCGGGCTAATGGTGGGGAGAGGTGGCATGGATAATCTGAACTATAATTATTTATTTCTAAAATACAACATGTAGATTCACCTTTTCCAAATTTTTCAATTAACGTTAGTTTTTGTTTTATAGTAAGTACGACTTTCTTTTGATTATTAGGCATTTTAAGGGTACTTATCCGAAAATTTAAAAAATATATCTTATTTTATGTAATTTTATACTGAAAGTATTTGTGGGAGAGTTATTTGAAAAAAATACAGTGGAACCTCGGTATACGACCTTAATCCGTTCCTGGTGTTTGGACTTATACCGAATAGGACGTATAACAAATCAACCTTTTCCATAAAAAGTAATGTAAAAATGATTAATCCGTTCTCATGTAAAAAAAAAATGGCTAGCTTTAAACACCTCGCTTTCCTCGCTAGTTTCTGCTTGATTTTTCATGCAATCAGCATGTATCCTTTTAACTTTCTCGCAAATAATTTCTTCCGATACGCTGTCGCCGCACACTGTTTTTCAGTTATCCAAAGCAAAAGCAATTTCTCGACATGATCTGATGTCTTCGATCTTTGTTTAGAAATTGATTTAACCCCTTTCACAACGTTAGCAAATTGAATAATGTCTTTATTTTTCACGATTGTCGATATCGTCGTTCTCGGAATATGGAATACAACAGTTAAATCTCGAACATGCGTGCCACCTTCATATTTCTCAACAATCTCTTTTTTCAGTTCCATTGTGATTCTAGTCATTTTTTATTATTTTTCTGTTGCCCTTTTGCAATTCATGATTAATAAAAAAAATAAAATGTTACTTACAAATTCAAATCTGAAGAAATTTAACAAAGTTATAAACCGTAGCACCGCAAACATCTAGTCTGGTGTAGTACACTGATAGTGCTACAGTACTTGTTCATAGATGGCGCGTATAATTGAATTAATTAAGTCATATACCGAACAAATTTTGTTTCGTCCAAACAGGACGTATTCCGAATTGGACGTATTCTAAAGCAGATGTATACCGAGGTTCCACTGTATTATGTATAATATGTATTATACATACGTACTGTACTTATAATCAAATCCTAAATTGTAATACGTATTATAACATGCAACTAAACGAAACTTTGTATAAATGTACTCACTATCGTTTTCTCCTCTGAAAAGAAACGTCCAGCACAAAAGATGCGGCCTAACTAAAACCAGTCCAGCTGACTTCAGATACCCCCACCATCTGCTTCAAACATCTAAATACAAACATGTGCACACTTATAGGAAGTGTAAACATGAAAACGAGCAACTATTTAAAAAATACATACACATATAATTATTTTTTTAAATTAAATTCATGCACAGATAATCGGGAGTTTACTGTATTAATTTTTTTCTTCACTGCTAAACATCATTAAACAAAGATGTTTTCTTTTTGGCAAAGTATCAGTAACATCTTGATTTTTCTCTACTTTTTTTCATAAAATCTGATATAGTCATTTACTTGCATTTGCCTAAGAGATCTTTTAAAAATGTAATTATTTTATGTAGTAACTTTTAATCTATAAAAACAAAACACAACAACAGAGTTTGGGAGAGCACTATCACCAACAAAAGCAATATCTGGTTTATAGGAAAGCTAAAGTAGGAAGCTAGGACAAGAGAAAAGATTGTATAATCTGTTCTGATTAAAGAAACCAGAAAAAGGCACAAAACAACAGTGAAAATTTCAATATTCTAAAATCCATGGGAAGATATGAGACAATACACATACTTACTTGAATAAAAATATATCAATTGAGTGTTTGCACTTGAAAATTTGTAACATTTTGTACAGGGATGTCTCCAATCTCAAACTGTGTTGTAGGAATGCCATATTGTGCAAAGGCTACCTGTAATTGGGAAAACTTTTTTTAGAGGAATCAAACATTTTCATTTATCTTGAAAGAGTTTTTTTTTTAAATTATCTATTGTGCATTGATTATGTAGTGATGATGTAATCTAATAATTTTTTTATATATCATTTCAGAGGCCTAAATAAAGAAAATACATGCTAAACTTGTTAAAACATGTTACTTTAAGGTTGCTCTAAACTTAATAATTTTTTTAACTAATTCTTTTGTTGGTGATTAGCTTTAACAATGTATTTTTATAACTTTTTTCTTCTATTTTTTCATTATCATCATTCTTCATAAGTTTATAAATTTAATTGTTAATGAAGGAAAAAGTTTTCTTTCATTGGAGGAATAATAAATAATAATCAATTATTCATTTATACTAGTATTACTATGCATAATTTTTAATTATATAATTATTACTTTAATTTCTTCCTTCCTTTTTCTTGTTATAGTCCTATCACACAAACTTTAAGGTTTTTTTAATACATTTTTAGTCATGTAGTTTTCATAAAATAAAATATATATTTAACATTTCTGATATTATTATCTCTCTAAAAAGTAATTTTCTATTGTTAGTTGTCCTGTTTACACAATACTATCTTATCTCAAGTTAAAATAAGTCTGTTATCTATCATCGATAATTTAGTTTCTAATGAATATATTTAGATAAGATTTTTTTAATACTGAAAATATTTCTGCATTTGCTAAAAATGATACAGAAATTTTCTTATGTTACTACTAATAGTAATTTCATTTTGTTTGTCAGATAATTTTTTATAATTTATAACTAAATTTATTTATTAGAAAGTGGTAGAAATATTTATTTTAGTGATTAATAAAATGAAATCAATTATAATTATAATATAAAATCCAACAGGGCACTTCAGGCATTCAATGGTATTGGCATGAATTTTGAGTGAGCTTTTCTTAAGAAGAAGGATTATTCAGTGATGATTTTGTGGCAATTTCAAGCATATTTACTGATAGTAATATGGATTTTACTTATTATGGCTGGAATTGAACAAAATCCATGTCCTTTATCGCATTCTACTTTGAAGAGAAGGCAGCCTCCATTAACCAGAAGTAGTAAGGCCTACTAAGGTGTCTAAATCAGCCAATGTGAAAACTATGCTCTGTAAACAATCTGTGACTTCTATGGATATGGAGAGGAGTGAAAAAGTATATGAAGAATAAAGGGAAAATAATTTTGAATTTACATTAGTAGATTGTCGTGAGTTGATGGAGAAGGATGACAGCTCAATGACTTGTCAACTTACAACAGTTGACAAAACTAATTCAACTATAACTGAACAAATTTTGAAGGTTAAAACAGAAATTAGTTTGATACATCAGGACATTAATGATTTTAAGACTAAACTTGGTTCATTGGAACTAGTGTTTCTCATTTCCTGGTCTTTTGCTTGTCCCGGGATTCCGAGAAAAAAGTGAATTGTTTCCCGGGATATAATTAATTATTTTTAAGATAGAAATCTGAAAATAGAATGATATATAGTGGTGAATCGATCAATGCGGGCCTCTGAAATAGTAAAAATTATTAGTAAACTGAGTGAAATGACTGATGTTGGCTGATTTAATTCCAGTCAGTTTTCTAAACTGAATACCAATTGAAGTGGCAGAATTTTTGCTGCTCAGCTTTAATTACATTTATGAACATGGCATTTCCCTGAAACATAGTGTTCTTCATATTTTCAGATGATATTTAAAAGGGATGAGAAGTCAAATTTCAGTAACTACAAACCCATTGCTATATTGTCAACATTAAGAAAAATTTTTACATCAGTTCTGGCAAATAGATTTGAGCAATGGACAACAGAGAATTTTTTGACATAAAAATCACAATTTGTTTGTTAAGAGAAGTGGAACAGAAGTTGCAACGTTTGTATTGCTATTGACTATTCAAATCCATCTTTCTAGAAAAAAAGCACAAAGTCTATGCAGCTTTTTTAGATCTGGAAAAGGTCTTCAATTTGATATCAATAGAAAAACTGTTCTAAACTAAAAATACATGGTGCAGATTAACTATTTATAAAAGCGATTAAATCTCTATCTGGTCACTATTTTTTACAATTAAAAGTGGTAAGAATACTTACCCCCTTTCAACATATGTGGTTGGCTCTTGCAAGATGATCCATTATCATCTTATTTATTTAACTTCATGATCCATGACATTGATAAGCAGTTTAATTAGGAGGATGGAATTTCAGTGAGAAATCAGTTAGTCCATTTAATTCAATATGCCTGTGATATGGTGTTAATTTCGGCAACCAAAATTGGTTTACAAAGAAAACTAAATCAGATACAGGAATATTTTTTCTAGTTGGAAATGAAGATTAATCCAAATAAAACATATATTCTTATATGTCAAAAAGGAGGAAGAATAGCTAATCAGGATTATGGTTTTTATCTGTTAAATGATAAATTAAAGGTAGTTGATGAAATTTCATACATAGGAATTCAGTTTACTGCAATATTATCATTTGGAAAACTTTTCCAACAAGTACAAAATAAAGCAGCTGAAGCAGGATAAAGATAAACTGTTAGAGGATCATAGCAGCAAAATAGAAAATAAGCCTCAAGTTTACACTTATTGATTTAACACTATGTATACAAGTATTATGGAAAATTTCCAACATCATGGGAGACTGTATTTTATCTCAGTTCAACTTCTGATTGTAGAGATTTAATTTAATGTTTTTCCTTGTAGCTGGATAAATTCCAAAATATGCTAATAAATTTGAATTTGAATGTAAAATCCAACAAAATAAGGCATTAAAAAGTAGTGATGCATTCTTGATATACAGAAACATTTCCAATGTAAAAAAGTGTAAACCAGAATAAGTTAAATATGTTTATGTATTTCATTTAACTTTGATCATACATCATTTGTTTCACTTTGATAATTAATTGATCTTTCATTTATATTATGGAATAAATATCAAATTAAATTAATATTTTATAAGATCTGTTAGAAGTATAATATATTAAAAATGATTGATACAAATGCAAATAATTTTCTTGTAGGAATTATATATTCAACCATATTATACATTTTAAAGAAAGTCTTTGCATTTGTATCTCAAATTTTATTATATCCAATGATTTAATAATGTATTTACTCTAATTTTTTTTAAATTCAGATAAATATACACTAATTGGTCGACTTTTAAAACCTGGAGAAGAACCAACAGATTATTCAGAAGATGATGAGGCTAGTCAAGATCAGAATCAGAGGGGGGTGGAAGAAAACACAGAACAAGTTGATGAAACAAAGGAAAATAAAAAAGAAATTTAAAAATTTTTTTAAATGACTGAAAAATACCCTGCCTCTGTCCAATAATGATAATATAGAAGGTGAAATGGATATTTTGATGGCATTTTTTTAAGAGACCAAAATTCTGTTATATAGTAAAATATTGACCCAAATTAATTTTTTAAGTTTTGTGAAGTTAAAATTTAAACATTCTGTTTTTGTATAATTCAATATATTAATTTCCTTACTTGACAGAGACACCAACAGATACAAATTTTTCTAATTTTTACTATCAATTTTGCTACAGTGCCTGTCAAAATTAAAATAAAATTTCAAAACTATGATTTCCTACATATTGAAGGATATTTCAAAGTTTTCTCTGAAAATTTTTTACAAGCATATGTTTATTTTATGTTTAATTACTGTGATTTTTGTATAATTTCATATTATGTTGTGCTCTTTCTGAGACTTGTATTCATCTTTATATATGAAATTTTCTATAATTCTCTATTATAATACAATATGCTAATTTTTTACAATGGGTTAAGGGTATTGTAAATAATTTACTTCTGCATTATATAAAAAAAGGTATATTCTGGAATTTATTGTCACTTTGAGAAATTTCATGTATTTGAGCAATTTCTTTCTCATATTTTTCTATGGTGCTAAAATTTAACTGAGACTTTTTAACCTGAAATTGGTATATATATATATTAAATTGTTAAGATGTAATTATAGTATTTTCAAATAATTAAATTGTTTTGCAGCTAAAGTTTTGGGGAATATTAAAAATTTAAAAGTACAAACACAAAACTGCATAGAATTACATTTCCAGTTATATTTTGTTATTTATGTATGTTTCCAGTATAATTTTTGCAATCAAATTTGTTATGCATTGAATATTTTGCATCTGTATGTGGAAATATTTTACTAGTAGTATTTTTTTTTTAATAGATCTTTTGAAATGTTGTCCTTACACTTTATTGAGATAAAAAAAATAAATAGTCCTTTGGATTATTTTTGCAATATTTTTATATTTATTCTGATTATAGTAGTAATATCTTTAAAATATTTTAATCATTCACATTTAATTTGTATTTATAGTTGATTGACTTTTTAAAATATGACATCATTTATAATATAAATTAATTAATCTGATAAAACTCTAAAGAAAGTAAGAAGAATAATCAGAAAAATTACTCTTAAAATTTTTTAATTAAAACAAAATTATGCAAATCTTTTTGATTCTAACCAATTAGGATAATCCAAAAAAATTTCAAATTATCAAAAATTGAATTGTCCATTTGAAAATAAACTAGTTTCTACTGTTTGGAATTTTTCCAAGTTCTTAGGCAGTACCAGTTTTCTCTTAAATTTCTTTTCCACTAATGTTTTGAACTAAAATACTCATATATATTCCATGCTTAGACAGATAAAAACATAACTAATCAATCCATTATCTATAATTTTCAAATTTCATTAAAAATATGAAATTGTAACAGTTTTGTTCTTTCTCCAGAATGCATTTATAGAATGTGCTCTTCAAGAAATTGTACACATTCTATAAACCAGTAAACTACTGTACAGTGCATGCCACATTTTTTTTCAAATTTAATTTTTGAAATATGAGATACAGTAACTTCAAATTATCCAAATTTATACTTAAAACATTGAATTAACTGTGTTTTTAACAATAATTTAAATATGAATAAGTTTGAAAATATTTAAAAAATTATTGACATTTCAATTTATTCATACTTTTGTTAAATATTGTGGAGAATGAAAAATAAGAGCATATGGCTTAGTTAGATTTTGCTTATAAGTCAAGTTTTGATAAAACCAAAAACAAATTTAAGAAACATTTTTGATAACTATCAGTAGACACCAGTTCGCAGATCAAGTCATAGAAATGATTTGATCTGTAAAATATTCAGAGTACAATGCATATTTTCCCCCTCTGCTTTGTTGGGTACTAAGGGAGCCTTTTTTTGTACATCAATCATGGGTTTGCCAAGACCTACAATGGATAGTGATGGATGGAGCCCAACCTATTTGAGCCAAACCATACGTGAAAAATTTCTGGGACTCTGCCCAGATTCAATCCCGAGTCCCTCCAGAGTGACAAGTTAACACCTTTATGCTGACTGTTTGGTTAGCTGTACTACAGATTAACTCTGAGTTTATTTTAATTTGCTGGCATCTATCTGGATACTTTCATACTATTCTTAAAAGTTCATTTTTTAAGATAGTTAACTATTTTATTCTTATATAAAGCTTTTTTCTGCTCTCTCAACTTTCATTTGAATTTAAGTAAACTTGCACAAAAATAACTTCAAGGTTGTGTGAGTTTATTTCTATTTGCAAGACAGCTCTGATTTTGATTTTAATTTATTATTACATTATATATACTGTATATATATAAAATATTAATAGTTAAGTAATTTGTTTATATCAAAATGATGATTATTTGAATGATGGAAAGATATGCAAATAACTAAGTTGTTGGATAATATTACAAATGTCTCTCTTGAGAAATCTAAACTAATTAGATTTAAACTAAAAAACTTATTGAAAGAAAAATATTCCTTTTTAAAATTTATGAAGAAGACAATATGAATTTGATTGTGTAATTATTTTATTAAAATTTTAAAACCTTTAAGAATCCATTAAACAAATATAGTAATTCCATCAGTAGTAGTGAAGAGAGAGTTCTTTTTACAAAAGAAAATTGCAGATATCATTTATGTTGAATATCTATCTTATTGAATAAATTTTATCTCTGTATGGAAACAAATTATTTTTTTACTTATTAAACTTCAATAATGATTGAAAAACTTGTGGAAAATTTAAAATGTTAATTATTTTGAAAGATCAATAATAAAAAATTACTATATATTATACATGGTTTTTTGTTAATCTAAATATATAAAATTGCTTGTCCTGACTGACTGAATGACTCACTCACTCACTCACTGATTCATCATTGCCCAGAGCAAACCGCTTAACCTAAAGAGGTGAAATTTGGTAGACAGTTAGGGTACGTCATGGAAATGCACACTAAGAAGGGATTTTTTTAAATTCCCCCGCGGGGGGAGGGAGAGGATTAAGGCTTAACCGGAAGAACGGCTTCTACTGTACTATTTTAGATGCAATTTTTTTGTTTATATCTGCATTGTGGTAGGGTATGCCATGGCAATGCACACTAAGAAGGGATTTTTCGAAATTTCCCCTCTGGCGGGAGAGGGAGAAGATTTAGTCTTCATCGAGTACTTAGGTGTATTAAATTAATAACATTTCAGACATTGTTATAAATATTTTTATCTATTTTGATTTTAAAAATGTTCGAACCATTTTAAATTCGAATTTGTTATTGCATATTGGTTCGATTATAGAACAGTTGTAAATGTTCCAGAAAATTGATCAAATTGAAAATAATTTGTTTGATTCTCGGCAATTATCATTCTCGGCGGTAGGTGTTATATAACAATTACTATGGTTGTTGAAATATTGACTATAAGTGGCAAAATCTGGGTTTACAGCAAAGAAACATTAATTCGAGCGAACATCTTTTTCGCTCAGATTTTCAGCCTCGAGATTTCATGAAGAGAGAAAAACCTTACAGGACGATGATGAAGTGGTCGACACGCAAGAATTCAATAGTGTATCAACTGTAATAGAACTTATTTTAAATAAATAAATAATTAAAATATAGTTCTGGTAAATTTATTTTGTATAAGCCTTGTCTCAAAACTTATGAACCATATTGTACTTTTATTTGTTTTATTTTTAAATTTAACGAAAGTTGTTTTGTAGTTCTGAACAAACACGAAACCACAAAATGAAACAAAGATATATACAGTAGATCAGTTCCAAATAAGAAATATACAATTTGGTGAAATATTACAATTCACTTAATTACAAAATTTTGGAATTTCTGTTCAGCACAATAATGGCAGATTATTTATACCCTGAAGTTTTTATAAAACTATTTACCTGAAGCTTCTTTCCACTCATTCTGAAGTGTTGTGTATCAAGTGATGTTATCCAGTGGCGTGCCGTGACATTTGATGATAGGGAAGCTGTGTTTCTGCAGGAAGCCGACTTCCAGAGGCAATCAGTTAATTGCGCCAGTGATGGTCTAGGGCAGGGGTCGGCAGTTTGTCAAGTGAGAAGAGCCAAATTGTCATGGAAACAGAATAACAAAAGTACCAGAGAGCCGCATATTAATTTAAATGTGCGAAATACGACACACGACAGAGGCGCCTCTAGTTGCCGTTTTCAGCATAACGTTACACGGATGGACGGACGCGTTCAATGGGTTATATATATAGATATGCTTCAAATGCTACCACTCTTATGCGACTCATATTGATCAACGTGAGTGTGGTCATGTGCGGACGGAGAACAAGTCGAAGTTTGTTCGGCGGCTCTATCTCATAAACTCATAAGTTATAAGGCTGCGGTGAAATGAGGTGAGATGAAATTGGAGTTTATGTCCGAAGAGCCGCTAATTCCGACCCCTGGTCTAATGCAAGGGTGGGCAACCTTTTTTATAACATGGGCCAGAATAAATTTTACGTTTTTTCCGCGGGCCATAGTAGTTAATTGACACCTTGTGATCTGTAAATTTTTAGTCTGCAAATATGAAATAAATAAATAAATAAGAAATTAATTACTACAGTCGACCCCCCCCCTATAACACTGTTGATTATTCCGTTTTATATGAATTCCATGTTGTATGAGTCACTTAGATTTTACAAATGCGTGTGCCGGGCTGTGAACGGCTCACCTATTTGTAAAATCTAAGTGACTTTAAACAATAAAAACAACACTATGTAGTTGGATACGACAGACATTACATTTTCTAATTGCATAGCTTTTGCATATAGATTTTCTTGATGGATGACGCGAAGATATATAAATAATTTAGAAAAATTCTGTTCTCCCATTTTTTGTTTGAATAAGGAAATGACTCCCTTATTTTTTCCTGTCATTGCTGCCACAACACTTCAGAAAATAATATTCAATTTAAACTAGACGAATTACATCGAAAAATATTTATTTATAATTTCTTCTAAACATCTCGCGGGCCGGATAGAAACTTTTCGCGGGCCGTAGCTGGCCCGCGGGCCGGGGGTTGCCCACCGTTG